AAAACCTTAGTCACACCCGATGTGATATCTAACAAATTATGTTATATAACCATTTTAGAAGAGAACTTGTGATACTAAAAAACAACAACAAACCAACTCAGCTTTCAAATGAGTATCCCATGGATTGATCAACACTGCTTCTACTAGAGGTCTTCGCACAAACCAATGAAGTCATGACATTTAGGCCAATTGCTGCATTGGAGTTTCCTTGAATCGCATTAGTGTTTGAATGCAGTTCTTCCCTCTATGTTCATTCCAAAGAAAAGTATATTAGGATTCTTCTTATTAATAAAAATTTTAACAACCTGTGACCAAAATTTGCCTTCCTCAATTAAAATAAAACATTTAGTTTGCTAGAGAATACCTCTCTCTACTAATAGAAGAAACTGAATGTAAATAAATTTCAGATGCATACTTGTACATCTTCATCAACACATGGACTCTACCAATTCTCAAGCATTTTCAGTAGAAGTGGTGCTGTTGTAAGATGGAAAAATTCAACTCCATTTTTTCTCACATTATTTATTATCATGATCAAATTAAAAATAATGAAATTCACTACAAAACATTAAATTAATGTGTTTTATATTCAGAGTCCAAATTTATTATTTGTGGTAAATGAAAAACACCAAATTTATCAAGGCACAACATACCATTTTGCATAGGCTTCAAAATAAAATAAATAGTTAGAGCATTTCAGAAAATGAGTACTAAAATTCAAGTATATAAAATTATTTAAGCCCTTGAATATGAAATGTTTACCGATTATTGGGAGAATCTTAACGTTATGAGAAACATTTTATTATACGATGGTGAAATATTATTAAAAATCATTACCTACAGATCAAAAAATTGTTGTTGTCAAAGCAAGATAAAATTCTCACTTGCAATGATTGCAGCTTTCATTTGAGAAAATTCTCATGTGACTTGCTTATTATTTAGGTCTGTCAGAAGACAAGTATGTCGTGAGAATTTGAAATATTATTGATGTTCACGTGTGTACATAGTGTACACTTGTCAAAAACAAATAACTATTTCAACAGTGCCACAAGATTTCAAAGGTACTTACAAATACCTTAAAACTGCTTGTAGGGTAGAGATCCTTGCGGTGTATTGGTTGCAAACACTTACTGTTTAAAGGTTCATCTTTTTGAAATCCAAAAACAAGCATTCAAGTAATTACCACAACACAACGACAAACTATTTGAAAGGCACTTTTGTCTAATTAAAAGTGGTCAAAAAACTTTAAAGAAAAGCTTAAAACCAACGGAGTAGCACTCAGAACACAATGCGGTCTTCATATTCCATATGCTGATGGAAATATGAAAACAAGATTGAGATTGTCTTAAGTTTGATGACATGTCCCTCTTCAGAGTTTGTGCTAAGGCCCTCTGTAGAGGTGGTGTTGGATTGGCAAACTCAAATACTCTACTTAAATCAGCGTAGCTACTGTCCTCTTGGTGTTCCTAATAAATGCATCTAAATGTATTTAAAATGAAGTTTGCGAGGTAGACTAGATTGGCCTCTGCTGATCTACTTTTCACAAAAATCAAATAATTGTCGATTAGGCAACGAGGGTGCACCATGGTTTAGAAATTTTATCAGAGACACTTGAATAGCTTTGGGATTAAGCACAATATTGTTATAAGCCTCAAATGAAAAATATCCACTTTGTCACTCTGTCTCAGCATTATGAATGGGGATTATAAATGATTATTTCCATTCTAGAGTAAGAATTCCTTGTTCAGTAAATTTGTGAAAGATGTACCAAGAATCTACATTGCAAAATTTCTTAGTTAACAATTAAATATTCCATTCAATTGAAGTATTCAGGATCTTTATTGGTTGTCACAGCCACGTAACACTACAAAGACAATGCGACAGAGATTGTTTACTACACATTGATTTCCAGTAACCAATGGCTAATTATTTTTAACCTGATTTCATTTTGTAAATTTATTACATATTCTTGTAATTTTCTTAAACTTTTTGTACATATTTTGCTGTTCTTACCATATTTTTCCAGGCTCTAGGAATGACATTTTTAAAAATTGGATTAAGTTATTTTCAAAACAACTTTTTTCAAAATATTTCAACTTTTTTACCCAGTATATCTTTCCAGTTCTGTTATAAACAGGTTATGGTGTAGCTAAATGTGTTCACTACGGCAAAGTATATGACCCTCCAACCACTTGTGTACCCTCTTTCTGTAGCTGACTTATAACTGATTGACTCAGTGAATTTAGCGTGTCCATTCCTGTCTCACTTCATTGATCTCTATATCAGGTCTTTTAATGTCTCAATCTGAAACATTTTTTAGACTATTTTCCTGCTATCCTCACTTTTTCTGCCACAACTCGCCATTCTCAATTTTTATTACAAAGATTTGAATTATTGTTTTTTATATGTAATCTTGTAAGTATGATAATTATTTAAAAACTAAGGTAGGAATATTGACAAAAAGCCAGCACAGACAGAAAGTAATGGAGAAACTATAACATTTGGAAAAAAAGGCAGGGCAAGCAAATGGGCAAATGGGCCGAGATATAGAAGGTGTTTTATGACTTGTGAATAATAATAATAATTATTATTATTATTATTATTATTATTATTATTATTATTGCTGAAGACGTTTGAAATTTGGAAATTACCAAGTTTGATGTAACTGCTTTGTGATTTTTGGGTTTCATATGTGGGTATGCCATTATTCAGTCGGTAACTGGGAATCAGTCATGGTCACAGTCTGTTAGTCAATCACACTCTGACATACACGCTCACACTCGCGCGTGCCCTCTTACATGCACGCGTGCTCTCACACGCATGCATGCAGTCAGTTGATTAGTCAATCAGTTGAACAGTGAGTCAGAGTGAGGGACACCCTGTTTCGGACGGACAGACGGACACAGACATTGTGTGAACATAAGTCATCTTAATCATTCTGTTTTGACAGATATGAAGCACTCTGTTCCTCCTTGAATTATTCATATTTTATGAATAATGTTCATCATAAATATTCACTAACACACACTCTTTTCTTCTCCATTCTTTGTCTTTCTACCTCCATCTCTTCTATCTTTCCCTCACTCCCCTCTCTCCCATTTCTCTATCTCTATCTCTAATGCTGTTAACACATCTTTATTTTATTTACTCTTTCTTTTTAGGGTAGGGTAAGTGTTGACTGGTTGGATGGTGAGAGTCAAGTTGAAGGGGGTCAACCCAGGCCAGAAACGGTGTAGTTACTTTCTTTTCTTTTTTTCCTGAGTTTTTCCTTATGTTGTGTGTGTTTGCAGCATTATTATCTCCTGTGGTTCTCAGGGTGACCTCCATTGTGCTTACTGTAATGCTTGTTTTGTCTTTAATGAATGAATTTTTCTTTACTTGACTGTGCAGTTGTGAATTTTATACTTAGTAAAGCGCACCTATTTTAAAAAATGTTGAACATCTATCTTCCATTATTGCTTTCTTTTTAAGGATTTCAGTGTTATTCACTTTAAACTTTAATCTTCAATGTGCAACCAAGGGTTTTTCCCCCATTTTTTCTGAAATTTTTCATACACTGCCATTGTTGTTTTGAACATGTCTTGCAACTAATTGTGTGTATGTCAGTCCAGCCAGAATGTGAATTTTATTGGATAATTATATATTAAAGAAGGGCAATTCAAAAATATTGCATTTCTTGGTTTTATATTTTATTTCGTGTTTCCTGCAATTGGGAATGCATTTGGAAATGTTTATGCCTGTATCGTCAAAAACCTACAACCAAGCTTGTCAGTACATTGTGACATCCCTCCCCCTTGTTTTTGAATTTCTGAATGTGATGTAGCTGCAGGAGTATTGATTGACAGGAAATTAGTGTAAATGCCTCAGGACATTTTTAAAAATGTGCAAAGCTTCTGCAAGAGCAGGTTACTTACAATTCAGTTGCAGTTCAATGTTTGTGAATGAAAGGAAAATAATTAAGCTTAGAAATAGAAAACACTACATTTAAATCAGTTATAATTGAAAGTATACGGGAACCATGCAAGTACTTCTTGTGTGGCATCCAGGGTTCCAGGCATCCATCTAAAAATGTAATCTTAGAAGAGAAATTATGAACATGATATAAGGCTTAATGTTCTGTAATATCATTTTTGTGCAGCTTACCTCTGCTATTCTGTTTTGTTTTGTTCTTTCTTCTTGTCTACCTTTGTTCACAATCTGGTGCTATATTCATTGTCTTTCATGACACCAATACATTGTTTTCACCACTGTGAAGCAGCTGACACTGTTTTTGTTTCATTCTACATTATTCTACATTATTTGTTGTCCCTGTCTAGACAGTGT